AGATATCTTAAATTTAATTTACAAGGGTCAGAGGATATAGAGGAAGAAAGTTAGGAGAGGTTAATCGGTTAACCAAGCTATACACTGAAAACAAAAGGCTATTTCATATTCCATTTAAGAATGGAATGCTACTGCAGTCTAGCCAGGTGCAGTGGCACATGCCTGTAATCCCAGCGGTTTGGGAGGCTGAGACAGGAGGATTGCAAATTCGAGGCTAGCCTCAGCAATTTAGCAAGCCCTAAGCAACTTGGTGAGACCATGTCTCGAAATAAAAAATAAAAGAAGGGTTGGGGGTGCAGCTTAGTGGTAAAGTGCCTCTGGGTTAGATCCCCTGCACCAAAAAACAAAACAAAACAAACAAAAAACCCCAAAACCCTAAATTCCATCATAATCATCTAGATGGCACCATATCCTGCTTATAATCCCAACTAATCCAGAAGCAACAATAAATTATCCTTATGAACTTCACTCTTATCCCTAGACTTTCCCTGCCTTAGTGTAATCCCACCCCTCTTATTTATAGCCAACGTAGGTTAATGTAAACAATGTATGTTTTCCTTCCTCAATTTCTCATTATTAAAAATGCCCTCAGCTCTTGTGTAGCAGACATATTTCCAATTGCTCTCCAGCCCTGCTGCTGGTAGTTGTGAGAACTTGTCCTAGAACCTGGTCCTTCTGACTAGCATCTGCAATGGTCAATAAACCTTGCACTTCAGAGATCCTTCAATCTCAAGAGTTTGGCTTCATGAGGCATTTCCAGAATGTGAAATTAGACAAAAACAAGTCCCCTAACTTGCTCCCTTTTTCAGGAAGCTCATGAAAGATGTGCTCCATATAAATAAAGGAATAATTCTAGAAAGAGGAAAGGTAGGATTTAGTAAACACAGGTTTATTATATAAAATATAGGAGAAGGCAAAGGAGAGGTCCAGAATAATCACAGTACCGCAGCCTAGATTGGGGCAAGAATATAGAGACCACCAAGGAACGTGCTGGCATTCACTAGTGAGGCTCCCCCTGGCACAGCCTGGCCTCAGGAGAGCACTGACACATTTGAGAAGTTCAGTTTCATTCATGAACTTTGACCAAGCATGTTCTCTGTGTCTGGCTCTCACCTCCAGATCAGTGAATCAAATCCCTCTCAGGTGGCTCAGACACAGGATGTGTAAACATGATTAGTCCCTGATGGCCCTGCTCTCCTCAGTTGTACTGAGTAGAGATCTCTAGCTCATTGTTTCTCAAGGGACAGTAAGACAGCATCAGGGGAGCAGAGACAGTACATTGTGGGTTTTAGCTGGGGGAAGGGTGGAAGGACAGAGAACTATGGGGTACTTGCTTACTCTGTGCCAGTCACACAAGAGTATGTACATATAGGATTTAACTTCCTCTTCAAGACACCCTTGAGCAGTTAAGAAAACCTGCCCTAGGTACTTGGCAGGCAAGCTGCAGACCTGGGATTTGAACCCAGGACAATCTGATTCAAAGTATGTTCTTTAGAGATATTGGCACTTCACCCAGATGTTTCCACTAAACCATTTTTAGCTTCTACCATTTACACATTCATTCATTCCATAAATGTCTCCCCAAAGGCATTCAGTGCCTGGTAGATTGTTAAGCAACAAACCAAATACCTGAATAAAGCATGGGCCCTGCCCTCGAGGATTTTCAGTACAGCCAGAGCTGGGCCTGAACTGAGACATAAGACCAGAAGCTGAGTTCATTACACCACTAAGGGAGGTCCTGGATTGATTTGGTCAGATGGCAAGTGGTTTTAATATAAAAATATGATTCAAATTTTGGCACACTGTGGGTGACTATATTATCAATTTTCTATTTACCCCTACCATATCCCGGAGGCATGTGAGGTTTAGGAGAATGAACACCCATGGTCAGAGAGAGCTGAAGAGGAAGTGGTATTCTGGGGCTTTGCTTCTTCTCAGCCACAGCAGGAAGTGGAGGGAGGGCTTGCTGAACAGACCAAGGAGTAGGGGAGTTTATTGACTATACAACTTTGATCCGGGAAGGCTCAGAAGGGAAGGGTTCCTAATCTCAGGAAAGGGGCAGTAGGTACCCAAATAGGAGTGAGTTTGGGAATGAGAATGGAGATAATCAGAATGGTCAAGAATGACAGGACTGTTAGACACAGCAGCACACACCTGTAATCCCAGGAGGCTGGGGCAGGAGGATTGTGAGTCCAAAACCAGCCTCAGCAACTCAGTGAGACCCTGTCTCGAAATAAAATACAAAATAGGGCTGGGGATGTGGCTCAGTGGTCAAAAGCCCCTGATTTCTTTTTCTTTTTTTTAAAGAGAGAGAGAAAAAAAATTTTTTTAATATTTATTTTTTAGTTATCGGCGGACACAACATCTCTGTTTTGTATGTGGTGCTGAGGATCGAACCTGGGCCGCACGCATGCCAGGCGAGCGCGCTACCGCTTGAGCCACATCCCCAGCCCAAAAGCCCCTGATTTCAATCCCTACCACCCCCCCCACCCCCCGAAAAAGAATGATAGGACTTAGGTGAGTGACATTGTGGTGCTAACTGAAATTACAGGGTAAATACTACACATTTCATGCTCTAATTTCTGAAGCTAGTGGTAATGCTGTTTTTAAATCAGAGAACAATCTATGGCCTCTGCTCAGAGTACCAAAGAGAGGGCTGTGGATGTAGCTCACTGGTAGAGCACTTGCCTAGCATGTATAAGGCCCTGGGTTCAATCCATAGTACTGGGGGTGGGGGATAAGATAGAGTACCAAACAGAATAAAGAAAATAAAGAGAAAATGTATTAGAAAGTGGCCCTGGGCTCACATGCCCATGACCCTGGGTTCAATCCCCAACACCACAAAAAAAAAAAAAAAAGGAAAAGAAAAAAAGTGGGCCTGGGGCTGTAGCTCAGTGGAAGAGCACTTGTCTTGCACATGTGAAGCACTGGGTTTGATTCTCAGCACCACACAAAAATAAATAAAGATTTTTTTTTTTAAAGAAAGAAAGTAGGCCAGGGAAAGTCAGATTCAAACAAGGTTATTTGAGCCACCAGAATTGTTAAAATTGTGTGAGGAACTTAGTGTGGGGTGAAGAAGGGAGGTGACTACTAGGTTTAACTCAAAACTTAAGCTCTAGTTGGTTGTTCTTTTCCTCTTTAGTTGTACATCAGCCTGTTCATTTAGTGAATACTTCAACCCCTTTCAACTTTCTGTCCCCAACTATGGTTTCCAGTTAACATTTGGTTTAACAGAGATGCCCCCATGATGCTGTAGAAAGAATATAGAATATGGTATCAGTAGACTAGAATCTCTAACTACTAGATTAAAAGTCCACATTCCATAGCCGGTCAGGGACAGAATCATCCAGGACTTGAATGCAGGATTTAGAACTCCAATGTTTCCCGCTTAACTAAAGCATAATACATAATACAGAGACTGACTTACTGTGCTTCCCTGAGCTTCTGTTTCCTCATGTGTACAAATACCTTCCTTAATAATAGCTATCCTACAGGGAGCTCTAAAGATTAATGGCTGAAGCCTCTGATACAGGGTCTGGCCACGGTGTGACCTTGACATTTTTAAATCATTACATACAAAAATTATTGGGCTTTATGGTTGCATGTGAATGATGCTCAAATGATTATCTCACTACACATGGAATGTGTTAAAATGTGCCCCGCAACTTATATGTTCAAGTCCTAATCTCAGTACTTCAGAAGGTTATTACAATCAGAGATAGAATATTTGAAAAAGTATTAGGTTAAAATGAGGTCCTTAGGGTGGGCCCTAATTCAACATCACTGGTGTCCTTATAAGAGGACATTTGGATAGACAGCACAGGGGGGACACCATGTGAAGACACAGGGAGAAGACAGTCATCTACAAGTAAACAAGAGAAACTTCAGAAGAAACCAACCCTGCAGACACTAAATCTTAGACTTCTAGCCCCCAGAACTGCAAGAAAATAAATTTTTGTTATTTAAGCCACACACTCTGTGATGCTTTGCCCTGGCAGCCCTAGAAAACTAAAACATTAAGCACATACCATACCTTTTTAATTGGTAGCCCAGGGCTCTCTTGTTCTACTGCTAGAAATCTGCTTCTTGACTTGTCCTATCTTCCCCAACTTGAGGTCCCTAATGAAAGCTTCACTGATGCTGGTCTGTTTGGGTTGACCTTGGAGAGGGCTACTACCGTGGCTCTTGGCTGCTAAGGTGACTGAAGACTTACTGACCAGAGGTGCTTGTCATGGGGACCTACATGGGGAAAGGTAACCGGTGGGTGGTGTGGAATGAAGGAATGAAGAAGGACTGCTGTGTCTGAAGTGACCCAGTGTTCTCTGACCCAGGAGAAGACAGGAGAAAGAAGAGACATACAGACAGGATTAGAAGAGAGAGGAGAGGTACCCGATGTGAATCTCAGGACACCAACAGAAGTGAAGAACTGCCCCGGTGGATCAGCAGGGATGGAATTCAGATCTTTTGAGGGTCGCTGCGCATCCTGATACCCAGGTGGTGGTCCCAAGTAGCACCGAGAGCCATTTGCCCCCTGGCTGCCTCAAGCGCACAGGGCAGAGCGGGCCGGCGGGCGCGTGCCCGACACGTCCTCTGGGCACTGCCCCTCCGGGCGCGCGTCCGTCCCCACCGCAACCCGCCCCCTGTCCCCGGCCGGGTTCAGTGGACCCTGCGCCCAGGGCCGCTCACGCCCCCTTGGCCAACCGGGACCCCCGGCCGCGCGCGCCCGTCGCCTCCTTCCCCCCCACCCCCGGCAGGCGCGCGCGCTGGCTCCCGCTCTAGCTCCCGCTCCCGCTGGCAGCGGCGGCGGCGGCGGGGATTGTTTTTGTTGTCGCTGAGGCCGGAAGAGCCGCGGGAGCCGGGTCCCTGTCCCCGGGCCGGGCGCCGCCGCCGCCCCCTGCCCAGCGCCCGCGTCTCCGCGGCGCCCCCCCCAGCGCCAATATTCCGGAGATCAAGCGTTACGCGGCGGCGGCGGCGGGGCCCGGAGCGGGAGGCACCGGGGACCGGGGCGAGGCGGCCCCCGCCGCCGCCATGGAGGCGCTGGGACCCGGTGAGGAGCGCGCTCGGGCCGGGGCCGGACCCGGGGCCCGGGACTGGCGGACAGGTGGGCGGGCGGGACTGTCTCTGCCCTGTCGCCCTCACCGGCCCGTGCGTACCCGGGTTCGGGCCTCCAGGCCTCGGGGAAGGGGACCCCTGCCCTTCTGCACAAGGCGGAGAGAGCTGACCCGGGCCGCGAGCGAGCGGGCGGGCGAGGGCGGGGAGGGCGGGGACCGCGCCCCAGCCTCGAGACTTGGGCTGAATCTTGAGCTCTAGGGGAGGGAGGCCCAGGAAGGTGACCCGTGCCCCCGGGGACAGGGGAGACCTGACCCAATCTCAGGAGAGGATCTGTGCTCCAGGGCTAGTTTGGGCTTCATAAATGACAACCTGAGCCCGGTGCATGCGGAGGCCTGGCCCAGCCCAGGAAGGACCCCCCATCTACTACTAAGGGTGTTCTTGGTTTGGGGCCGCACCCCTGTTTTTCTTTCTATTGGGAGATGGCCCAGATCCCTCAGATGAAGGAGAACTTCCCCAAAACACTTCTCATGACGCCTGAAGGCTAAGGGACAAAATGTCCAACGCGAAGTTTGGCTTCTGTCAGTCTCAGAATGGTGTGGGTTAGCCTTGAGTGACAGGGGAGTTTCTAGCCAGCCCACCCCAGTACAGACATCAATAACCCGAGTTGTCTTCTAATGGGTTATGAGAGGTTGTGAGGATCAAATAAAGGAGAAAGTGCTTTGGAAACTGTAGTTCCAGGTGGGTAGTGATGGTCTCTGGTTATCTCCCTCACTCAGCCCACCAGAGGGACCATTCCAAGCTGCACTGTGATTGGAGTCTGATGCACCCACCTCAAACCCCCAACAGGTTTCTAATGCGTTGGCTAAGTAGGGCAGGTTTAGGGCCATGGTGGAATTAATTTTAATATTCAAACCTTATCTGCCTAACGACTTAGTTGTAGAATGTTACATTTTGTTTTTTAGTGCATAGAAAATTAGGCTTACCATTGGAGTTTGGAAACTTTGCAAGTTTGTTTACTTAGAACTTGTTTGCATAGCTGAGTGATTAAACCACACCTTAATTTGCTGCTTAAAGTTTAATTTTTTAAAGTCTCTCATAATCGAATTTCATATGCCTATAAAAAATAAATTAGTTTGCCACATTCACATTATTTGATAAACTTCAGTATGAGTGTTATGCTAAGTTACTTCACATATGGCCCTCAGCTAAAGGCATGATCAGGACTTCAGAATGTAATAGACCTCTGTTCAAGTTCAGTCTAGTAATTTAATAGTTGATGACCCTGGGCAAATTACTTAATTCCTTTGAACTTCCATTTCCTCATCTATAAATGAGGGTAATAATAATTATGTGTTATAAGATTGTTGTGAGAATGAAATGAGATAATGTATGAGAGAAATTTTATTGTAAAGACTAATGCATTAGAAATGCTCAACAAGTGTTTCTTCCCTTCCTCCTATGAATAATTTGTAATTGAAACAACTGTTGCATTTATGAGATGATATGGAAAGAGACTATGTAACTGTGTCACAAACTGAGTTTCATGGAAAGGATCAGCCTGGTGTCCTTAGAAATTGCTCAAGAGACATCTTTCCCTACTTGGTTTGATTTCAGCTTTTGCAGGTTTGAAGACTTATCATTCACCCAGGATTGTTAAGGTTGTAGAAAATTCTCACTAACCACAGATCAAACCCAGTGCCTTACACATTTATTTTGGTTCTATTGATTATAACTTATTTTTGCAGTGCTTCTGGAAAGTGCTTTCATAACTATTAGCTGTTTTGATCCTCTGGGAGGTAGAAAAAACGGGTATTTTCCCCATTTTACAGATAAGAAGAGTAAGGATTGGAGAGTGTAAATGACTTCATCAATGTCTGAAAGCTGAGTGGTCAAGCGACCACCGGAGTCTGGGACATCTGACTCCTTGTTTAATATTCTTCTCATTTAAGGTTGACCTCATCTATTCTGGGTTAAGTCAAGTGTTTCCCTTTTGGGGAATGTAATTATCTTTTACCAAATTTTGGAAATGCCACCAATATAAAATTCAGGAGTTTGAGCACTATCTATAATCTTTTTTTAAAAAAATATTTTTCTTTATTTGTAGATGGACACAATGACTTTATTTTTATTTATTATTTTTATGTGGTGCTGAGGATCAAACCCAGTGCCTCACACATGCTAGGCAAGCGCTGTCCCACTGAGCTACAACCCCAGCCCACTAGCTATAATCTTTATGCAAGTGCAATAATAATAGCTAACATTTATTGAGCACTTGCTGTTGCAAGGCACTATGGTAAGCCTTCTATATACATCATTTCATAGAATCATCACTCTAGCCTTATGAAACAGATGATATTATCACACACTCCTACCTTATAGATGGGAAACTGAGGTGCAAGAAAACCAAAAACTGGCCCCAGGTCATGAGGTTAGGAAGTGGTAAAACCAGAACTGACACCCAGGTAGTTTGGTTCCAGAGCCTTTAGCCACTGTGTTTTACTGCTTCACTAAGTAAGTAGACAGTTTACCAATTTCAAAAAAATCAGATGTGGAATAAAGATTTTAGCTGGGTGAGGTGGCGCACACCCGTAATCCTAGTGACATGGGAGGCTGAGGCAGGAAGATCACAAGTTCAAAGTCAGCATCAGTAATTTAGCAAGACCCTGTCTCAAAAAATAGAAAGGGCTGGGGATGTGGCTCAGTGGTTAAGTGCCCCTGGGTTCAATCCTCAGTACCTCCTCCCCCCAAATTTTCCAAGTTTATTAAATATTAATTTATTAATTATTCCAAGTTTATTGAAAATGATCACTCTGTACATTTTCTTATTAAAAAAAAAAAAAACAGGGGCTGGAATTGTGGCTCAGAGGTAGCTTGCTCACCTAGCACATGCAAGGCCCTGGATTTGATCCTCAGCACCATATAAACAAATAAATTAATTAATTAACTAGTAATAAGAATAATAATTAATAAATAATATATAGACTAATTAAAGCCACTGTGTCCAACTGCAACTAAAAAAATTTTTTAAAGAAAGAAAAATTAGTATGTGTGTATATATATACATATATATGTGTGTGTGTGTGTATATATATATATATATATATATATATATATATATATTTTTTATATATTTTTTTTTTTTTTTTTTTTTTTTGGTGCTAGGGATTGAACCCAGGGCCTTCTGTGTCCTAGGCAAATACTGTCCTAAGCTACATTCTGACCCTCTACTTTTTTTTTTTTTTCAAGTTTTAGGTAGACACAATACCTTCATTTTATTTATTTATTTATTTATTTTTATGTGGTGCTGAAGATCAAACCCAGTGCCTCACACTAGGTAAGCACTCTACCATTGAGATATAATGCCAGCCCCGAGCCTTCTGCTTCTTAATTCCTTTTCTTTAAATCCCTCTGCCTCTGTTCCTTAGACATCAGGCACTTCAGTGAAGTATCCAGAGGATAGTGAAGAATACTGGAGGGAAAATGTACTGATTGGGAGTTAGGAGACCTAGATTCTAGTGATTATTTAAAATCAAAGTCATAGGCAAGGTACTTGATGTAAGTTTCTATTTCCAAATTTTTACTATAAAGCTGGATTTCTTCTAATTTGTTATAATGATTGCTTAAATGTGTCTTGGAAAATGCAGTGATGGCTTATCTGATTTAATTGGGTTGATTCAGTATGCCTGTCGCTTCTGACATTATTTATTGTTTACTTCTTGCCTTGTTTGCAGTTATCTTATCACACCCAAATAGATCCCCTTCTACACCAAAAGTGGAACAACTTTAAGCAATAATGCTTTTGAGGGCTGGGGTTATGGCTCAGTGGTAGAGTGCTTGCCTAGCATGTGTGAGGTACTGGGTTTGATTGTTGGCACCACATAAAAATAAATATCCAACAACAACTAATAAAATAAAAAAATGCTTTTGATATAAATTATGTGCTTTTGCTTTATTGAAAAATAATTCATGAATGTTAGGGATGAGTTTTCTGTTTAGTTTCTATCTGGTTTATTGACATTGTTCAGTTTAACATTTATTGAGTTCTTACAACATGCTAAATGTTGAATTAGATGTTGAAGAGATTGTGAACTGCAGATCTGTTTCTTCTAAGAATTTACAGACTAGAGGAGGAGACAGGGTAATTTAAGAAGTGGTTTCTTGTGCTTGTGCTAAGTGCTACCTGTACAGAGAGGCGTGGGAATATAGAGGATGGAGCCTCTAGTCTGGAGTGATCAAGAAACACTTTCCTAGGAGGTTGCCCCTAAACTGGGAGTGTTTGTTTTGTTTTGTTGGTACTGGGGTGTGAAATCAGGGGTACTCTAGCATTGAGTCATATCCTCAGCCCTTTTTATTTTGAGACAGGGTCTTGTTGGGTTGCTTAGGGCCTCGATAAATTGCTGAGGCTGGCCTTAAACTTGCCATCCTCCTGCCTTAGCCTCCCAAGTAGATGGGATTACAGATATGAACCACCACACCCAGAACCTGAACTGAGTTTTGAAGAATAAGTAGAATTTAGGAGAAAAATGAACAATGGGTATAATAGGTGAAAAAATTTTAGTGGTTTATTAATATATGGTGATCAACCATTACATATTTCATTAAAATATTTGCTCTAATTATCCTAAGAGATGTTGCATCAGAATAGCTTATCCTGCCAAAGCTTTCTCTCCTCACTGAATTCTTTGTTCTTAGTGAAATGCCATTGCAGAAAAATTTGGATCTTTCCATTGTTACCATAGCCCACTTTGCTTCACACCTATTCAGAGCAGAAAAGATGCTCAATTTTAAGGCCTGTGTTCATTTGATATTCTCATCAAAGGAAGTAAGGGTTTATCTAGACAAATATTTCCCAGATTGTAACACAAAATCCTTTCCTGCTGAAAAGTTGTAGATGTTCAGTTGAGAGAAAGGAGAGGGGAGAAAGAGAGGAGAGAGGAATTCTGTGGAGATGGGGTGATAATAAGCATACTAAATAATCATCTTCTATGTAAACCAAGAACAAATATTATAAGCATGTTACTTCAATATTTAGAAGTAAATACCAGTAGACTGCAAAAATGGTTTAAAAGTTGATTCCCCCCCCCCCCAGTACCAGGGATTGTACACAGGGGTGCCTAACCACTGAGTCACTTCACCAACTCTTTTTTATTTTTTTATTTTGAGACAGGGTCATGCTAAGTTGTGTAGAGCCTCACTAAGTTGCTGAGGCTGGCCTTAAACGTGCAGTCCTTCTACCTCAGCTTCTGGAGACGCTGGGATTACAGGCATGTGCCACCACACCCAGCTATCTAATTTTGATGACTCCTATATTCAAAATAATAGCAATATGGCAAAATATTTAGAAATCTGGAGACCCTTAGGTGAACAAACACCCTAAACTCTATATCAGAGTATGTTCAGTGAATAGTAAGATATTGGTAATCACAACTATCATGATGGTGATGGTGATGATGAAAGGAATTTTCTCCTTCTTAACCAAATAGCACAGCAAATATCTTTTTGTCTCTTTAGGACCTCCAACTAGCCTCTTTCAGCCACCTCGTCGTCCGGGCCTTGGAACTGTTGGAAAACCAATTCGACTGTTAGCTAATCATTTTCAGGTTCAGATCCCTAAAATAGATGTGTATCACTATGATGTGGATATTAAACCAGAAAAACGGCCTCGTAGAGTCAACAGGTAAGGAGTAGAAAGAGTAGACGTCCATATATATAAGTGCATATGATTTGCTTATTATGTATATATTGCTATCTGAATTCTTTCAACAGATATGCTTTGTTTGTAATCCAAGACGCTAAGTTTCTTAGGTAGTTATCCTCTTTGGTTCTAACAAAGTGCTGCATATTTCATTAGTCAATCAGTAAATACATATTGAATGAAAAAAGATAGCTCTTTCTTTAACCAAGGGTAGCAGAAATTTTATTTACATTTTTTTTCTGTATTGAGGATTGAACCCAAAGATGCTACCACTGAGCCCTTTTTAATTTTTATTGAGACAGGAGCTCACAAAGTTGCCTAGGCTGGCCTTTAACTTGTAATTCTCCTGCCTCAGCTTCCCAAATCATTGGAATTTCAAGTGTGCAGCACCGTGCGTGGCTTATTTTATCTTTTTATTTTGAGACGGTTCTTGCTAAGTTTCTTAAACTGGCCTCAAATTTATATTACTCCTACTTTAGCACAACAAATGTCTTTGGGATTATGAGTGTGTGCCACTCTGCTTGACCTAGCTGAAATTTATAAAAAATAGATGAAGACATTCATGTCTATGGAAAATAGAAGTATCTGGAAATTCAAATTTTATTTTTAAGTGTTTTATTGGACATGAGAAGTATTAAGTGAAAGACAGAATTATCTTGTAGCACTGAAAAAAAGTAAGCTTACAGAGATATCTGTTTCTTGCATTATCCAAGAGGGGGTCTGATGAGGTGATATAAGTTTTATTGTTGGTATCAGGAATTTACCAAATATGAATATATACCCTGTAGCAAAAATTAATGTATATCCACTTTACTTTTCTCTATTTCCATGTAGTGATATTTAAGCAGTCTTTGATTTGTTGAGTCTTGCTTTTCTAAGAATGCTTTTGCTGTCAAGTGAAATATGTTGTGCTGCTTAACTTTTTTTCTCATTATAGATTAATCATGTGGCTTTCTGGTACAGTTCAGTATTATGTAAGACCATAATTATTCAACTATGGTACAGCTGAGATCAATGGTAATAGAAGTGATGACAATGGCTAACTTTGGTCCGTTCAACAAATATTGTCAGGAGTGTTTACTCTGGACCAGATGTTTTTCTGTGCTGTGGGAATACAATATGAATAAAATAGGCACAGGCTGGGGTGAAGCTCAGTGGTACAGTACTTGCCTAGCATGTGCAAGGCCCTGGGTTTGATCCCCAGCACTGCAAAACAGATGAACAATAACCACAAAGGCAAAAATTTCTATTCTTGCCTTTTGACCAGAGCTGCAATGTTCCAGTAATTTGATAAAGTGATGAACACAGAGAGAAAGAAGAGAGGTACCTGCTGTATGTTCTCTAGGCCTTTTAGAAAACATGGTATCATTCCATTGGTCATATACATGTGAATCTATAGAAAAGGTGTTGCTATAAACATCAAGGGAATGGATCCTGTTCAAAAAGGAATGTCCCAAAGTGTTTCCATGGTAAAACTGGAAGAGTCTCTGGTGTTGGCCAGCATGCTCTTGGCATTGTTGTAAACAAACACGTTAAGAGCAAACTTCCTGCCAAGAGAACAAATGTGCATATTGAGCATATTAAGCACTTTCTCTGTAAGCTGAAAATAGCCTCATGAAATGTGCAAAGGAAAATGATCACAAAAGGAAGGAAGCCAAAGAGAAGGAGACCTAGGTTCAGCTGAAGTGCCACCTGCTCTTCCCAGAGATGCACACTTTGTGAGAGCCCGTCTAAGCTGCTGTAACTTATGCCCTAGGAATTCATGGCATAAAAGGTGTAGAGAAAAGCAAAAGACCCCGAGTAGGTAAAAAAAAAATCATACCCTTGAAGAGTTTCTATTCAGTTTCTCTTCTGATGCGGAAGAGCAAAAATAGATAAATAAGGTGTGATAAGTGTGATTAAAAAAAATAAAGCAGAAATAAAAATAAAATAAAGCAGAGAGGAAGGATAGGAAGATAGGAATAAAGATGGGGGGAGCCACTGAGATGTATTCATATGTGTGTGTGTGTATATATGGTAGGAGGTAAGATTAGAGAAACTCTAGAAATCTAGAAAGCTCCTTTTCATGCATTCTCCTTTTTTAAATATTATTTTTAGTGATGAACACAACATCTTTATTTACTTATTTTTATGTGGTGCTGAGGATTGAACCCAGTGCCTCACACATGCAAGGCAAATGTTCCACTGAGCCACAACCCCAGCCTTCATGCATTCTTGTAGGCCATATTCTACCACTGAGCTGCACCCCAGCCTAAATTTTTCTTTTCTTTTTTGAAGCACTGGGGATTGAACCCAGGAATAGTCTACTTTTGTGCTATATCCCCATCTATTTTTTGGGGGGTATGGGGGGTAATCAGGGATTGAACTCAGGGACGCTTGACTACTGAGCCACCTCCCCAGCCCTATTTTCTTTTCTTTTTTTTTTAATATTTATTTTTTTAGGTGTAGATGGACACAACATAATGCGTTTATTTTTATGTGGTGCTGAGGATTGAATCCGGGTCCCGCCCGTGCTAGGCGAGTGCTCTACCACTGAGCCACAATCCCAGCCCCCTATTTTCAATTCTATTTAGAGACAGGGTCTCACTGAGCAAAAGCACCTTGCATTTGCTGAGGTTGGCTTTGAACTCGCTATCCTCCTGCCTCCCAGCCCCTGGGATTACAGGCATGCACCACCTTATTTTTTGAGATGGGGTCTTGCCAGTTTCCCAGGCTGTCTTTGATATGTGATCCTCCTGCCTCAGCCTCCCGAGTCACTAGAATTCTGGTGTGGGCCAGGGCACCTGGCCTGAGTTTGGTTATTCTTAAAAGTTGTTTGTCTCAGGAGAGGATTTGGGAAAGAGGAGTTCGAGAGGATGCCAGAAATGTTGTGCTCTTTTTCCTTTTGTTCTCCCCTTGTGTTATCATCTTGCAGTTACCTTTGTTCATTTATTGCTACCTTTCTTTAGATAACTAATTTTTAAAAGTTATTTGAATCAGTAGAGACTGACTCTTACTTTTTCCAAGTAGTATTAACTGAATTTAGGTGATGAAGGTACAGTGATACGTCCCTTACTGTTCACTATTTCACAAAGCTAACTACCACTTATCTCCATTACTGTTAAGGGAGGTAGTAGATACAATGGTGAGACACTTCAAGATGCAGATATTTGGTGATCGGCAGCCTGGCTATGATGGCAAAAGAAACATGTACACAGCACATCCACTGCCAATTGGACGGGATAGGGTAAGTGTTAACAGCAAGAAACACTATGGTCAAGTAGTAGTAATTACATATGGCAAAAATGTTGTTTTTTTTTTCATAGTAATGATACATGTGATATTCTGTCCATATTCAGTTGTCTCTTGTTAACTGATAATTGAAGATGAGATGAGCACTAGAATTTAGGTTGAAGCCAGGTGCAGTGGTGCATACCTGTAATCCCAGCTATTTAGGAGGCTGAGACAGGAGGATTGCAAGTTCAAGACCAGCCTCAGCAATTTAATGAGATCCTGTATCAAAAAATAAAGTAAGGGGCTGGGGTTGGGGCTCAGCGGTAGAACACTTGCCTTGCACATATGAGGCACTGGGTTCGATCCTCAGCACCACATAAAAATAAACAAAATAAATGTATTGTGTCCGTCTATAACTAAAAAATTTTTTTAAATAAATAAATAAAAGGCTGGGGTTGTGGCTCAGTGGTAGAGTGCTTGCCTAGCATGTGTGAAGCACTGGGATGGATTCTCAGCACTGCATATAAACAAACAAACAAATAAATAAATAAATAAATAAAGGTCCAGAGCTGAGTTGTAGCTCAGTGGTTGAGCGCTTGCCTTGCATGTATGAGGTGCTGGGTTCAATTTTCAGTACCACATAAAAAAAATAAATAAATGAAAATAAAGATATTGTGTCCATCTACAACTAAAAAAAAAGTAAAGGTCCATCAACAACTAAAAATATATACATTAAAAGATAAATAAATAAAGTAAAAAATGGCTGGGGATATAATTTAGTGGTAGAATGCTCCTGGGTTCAATCTGCAGAATAATAATAATAATTATTATTATTATTAATTATTATTATTAATTGATTTTGTCACCTCATTTTTTCCCCAATATCTTTATTTTGTTTGTTTATTTTTATGTGGTGCTGAGGATTGAACCCAGAGCCTCACATGTGTGAGGCAAGCGCTTTGCCACTGAGCCCCAACCCCAGCCCTGTCATCTCATCTTTACATATATTTTATTTAAAATTTCTCATATTAACAATGTACTTTAAAGAAATACTATCTAGTTCTGAACAATGGAGTTTTTATCATTCTCACTTGTGAAAATACATTCATAATACCATAGTACTTTTTTAAACACTTATTTTTTAAAATTAAAACAGTAATATGTGAATATATGCTAATTATAGCTTATCTAGACAGTCTAGAAATGTTGTGGCTTCTTGCCTCTTCCTCCTATTTGCACCTCTCCTTTCCAGTTTCCTTTTTAAAGGATATTGCTATAATAATTTGGCATATATCTTTTAAAATATTTTAAATGTATTAATTATTTGTGCATATTTATAGATATGCTTTTTTCACATATATTTTGTGATTTGTTTTTTCATTCAGCAATATGCCTAGGAGGTCTTTTCATTTATATGCATTTAGATCTACCTTAGTATTTTTTCAAATTCAATTATTTTATTATGGCAAAATATATATAGCATAAAATTTATCATCTTAGTCATTTTTAAGTGTACAATTCACCATCATTTAGTGCATTCACCCTGTTGCGCAGTCATCACCACCACCCATCTCTAGAACTTTTTTTTATCATCTCAAACAGAAACTCATCAAATGGTAACTCCCCATACCTAACTGTCCCCAGTCCCTGGTAACCACTATTTTACTGTTTCTCTATGAATTTGACTATTCTAGGTACCTCATATAAGTGGAATTACATAGTATTTGTCTTTTTGGGTCTGACTTTTGTTGTTGGTGGTGGTGGTGCTAGGGTTTGAACCCAGGGACACTTCACAACTGAGCCACATCCCCAGTCCTTTTTATTTTATTTTATTTTGAAACAGAGTCTCACTAAGCTGCTTAGGGCCTTACTAAATTGCTGAGGCTGGCCTCGCTCTTGTAATCTTCCTGCCTCAGCCTCCTTAGTTACTGGGATTGTGGTGACGCATGGCTCTGTCTGGCTTATTTCACTTAGTGTAATGTTTTTAAACTTCATCCATATTGTAGTATCTACTTATTTTTAACTATTGTATAGTAGTCCACATTAAATTATTGATGGACATTTACATTGTTTCCAATGTTTTATAATTACAGAAAATGTTAAAATAAAGACACTTATGCATAAGTCATTTTTAAATATTCTTGAAATCTTTCCCACAGACTTTGTAAACATGTTTGTTTGTACATATGTATTTTTTCTCCTAGGTTGATATGGAAGTGACCCTCCCAGGTGAGGGTAAAGACCAAACCTTCAAAGTGTCTGTTCAATGGGTGTCTGTTGTGAGCCTTCAGTTGCTTTTAGAAGCTTTAGCTGGGCACTTGAATGAAGTCCCAGATGACTCAGTACAAGCACTTGATGTTATCACAAGACATCTTCCCTCTATGAGGTGAGTACCTTGGTTTGGATTCTTTCCTGTAGATGTTCAGACTTTTTGGTAGGTTACATTTAACCACTGAAAAGTTCTGTATAAGTCATAATTCAAACTTAATTTCAGCTCACAAAGTTCAGAGTGAAATGAAAAATCTTTCAAGATTTTTTTTTTTAGTTGTTGATAGACATTTATTTTATTTATTTATTTTTATGTGGTGCTGAGGATCAAATCCAGGGCCTCACACATTCTAGGCAAGCACTCTACCACTGAGCCACAACCCCAGCCCCTTTCAAGTTTTTGTTATGAAACATGCACTCTTATTTCTCCAGGTACACTCCGGTGGGTCGTTCCTTCTTCTCACCTCCTGAAGGTTACTACCACCCTCTGGGAGGGGGCAGAGAGGTTTGGTTTGGTTTCCATCAGTCTGTAAGACCTGCTATGTGGAACATGATGCTCAACATTGATGGTAGGATGGAACTCTCTTTATTCATTAACTTTTTGGCTGTTTTTTGTTTGCTTGTTTGTTTTTTGGCCCTTCCCTTCCCCTTAAAGCTAAACATCTTTCCTCTCTGTTAGTATCTGCAACTGCTTTCTACAGGGCTCAGCCTATTATTGAGTTCATGTGTGAGGTTTTAGACATTCAGAACATCAATGAACAGACCAAACCTCTAACAGACTCCCAGCGTGTCAAGTTTACCAAAGAAATCAGAGGTAGGTGTTTCTATTAATATAGTCTTGGTGAGGCAGCTATGTATGGTGCAAGTGGCCTTGGCTTTGAAGTCAGAAAAAGTTGGGCTTCCATCCCAGCCTAGTTAGTTGGGCAAGTTCCTTAACCACTATTACACACTGTGAGTCTTAGTTTATTTAAATTATTCATCTCAAGGAACAGGCAATAATATATGTCTGCAGAGTTGTGAGAATTAAATGCAATTAGGTTTACAAAGTTTCCTGGTACAGTATCTGTCATGTGTCAGTCTCTCAATAAAATTATCCTTACCTACTTAAAAACTTTACCAGCTACATGCAGTGGCACACATCTGTAATCCCAGTAGCTTGGGAGACTGAGGCAGGAGGATCACAAGTTCAAAGTCAGCCTCAGCAACTTAGCGAGACCCTGTCTCAACATAAAACATAGAAAAAGGGGCTGGGGATTGGTTCGGTGGTTAAGCGCTCCTGGGTTCAATCCCTGCCCCCTCCAAAAAAAAAAAAAAACTTTACCTTTTAATAAAATAATGCAAGTTTATTTATTATACTTTTGGAATTTCTTTTCTTCTTCACTTATAGTTAGCAATATTCTCTCAGTATAGTATAAATTTCATGAGGGTTGTCTCCAGAGCTGAGAATAAATTTCAGAACGTAGTTAATACTTATTAAATATTTACTGAATGGATTAACAGAGTATGTTAATTAAACATCTTAGATCATCTGAGTTCTAATTTATTATGCTTAGTTGAGGGGTTTTGCCTGTTAATGATTTTTATTTCTATTTATTTATTTGGTACCAGAGGTTCCTCAGCCTTTTTATTTTGTGAATTCCTGAGGGTCTTGCTAAATTGCCAAGTAATGTCATGATTTTTTTAAAAAAACAATGTTCAACAAGTTCCAGGCCAGCCACTGCAATTTAGCAAGACCTTGTTTCAAAATAGAAATTGAAAATGTCTGGAGATGTGACTCTGTAATCAAAACAAAACAAAACAAAAATGCTCCTGGGTTTGATTCCTAGTATGGCAAAAAAATAAAACAAAACAACATTGAATCAGTTTTTGTCACATTTTGGCTTTTTTTTTTTTTTTAACTTTAGGTCTCAAAGTTGAAGTGACTCACTGTGGACAGATGAAACGAAAATATCGAGTTTGTAATGTGACTAGACGACCAGCCAGTCATCAAACGTATGTTAATCACATCTAAAATGACATAACATTTTTGGTAACAAAGGAAGCTACTAAAATTATTTGTGAAAACTGTAGTATAATTTTTTTAAATATATTTTTTATTTGTAGATGGACACAATACCTTTATTTTATATGTTTATTTTTATGTGGAGCCAGGGATCCAACCCAGTGCCTCACACATGCTAGGCAAGCACTCTATCACTGAGCCACATATAGTATAATTTTCAAGATTACCAGAATCTTTATTTTAATACCAAAGCTTTAAAAAATGTTTGAAATATTTTTGATAGAGATATTTGTTTCTTTTTCTTTTCTCTTGAGTTGGATCTTGCTTTTTTTGCCCAGGCTGGTCTAGAACACTTGGGCTCAATCACTTCTCCAGCCTCAGCGTCCTAAGTAGCTGGGACTACAGCTATGTGCTGTTACACCCACCTTGGACAGATTTTTATGAAACGTATTTCCTGCCTTCAATTCCATTCATCTTTTAAAATTAGCATGTTAAACATAGGTCAACTTTTATTTAACGATGCAGAGCCATATTATCAGCATCATTTATTATACTGTTGTAGTTTTCAATACAGGGCCTGCAAGTTCTGTTGAAGCCTAGAAGTCATATAACCCGGTCATGGGAAGACTTATATTGCTTTGTAATTTTGTTGTTGTTGTTGGGAGGGGGGTGTCGGGGATTGAACTCAGGGGCATTCGACCACTGAGCCACATCCCCAATCCTATATTTTGTGTTTTATTTAGACACAGGGTCTCATTGAGTTGTTTAGTGCCTCGCTTTTTGCTGAGGCTGGCTTTGAACTCGTGATCCTCCTGTCTCAGCCTCCCGAACTGCTGAGATTATAGGCATGCGTATTTTTGTGTAGATTTTTCTCTTTCCTTTTGTAGGTAGCTGCCTCTCCTCCTCCTCCTCCTTATCCTCCTTCTTTTCCTCCTCCTCCTTCTTTTTTTGTCACTAGGGATTAAACCAAGGAGTGCTTAACCATTGAGCTACATACCCAGCCCTTTTTATTTTTTATTTTGAGATAGGATCTTGCTAAATTGCTGAGGCTAATTGTGCACTTGTGATTCTCCTGCCACAGACTCCCAAATTGCTGGGATTACAGGTGTGTGCCACTATGCTTGGCTCCATTGACATCATTCTGTCAGGGGGAAAAAAAAAGCTACTATACTAAAACCTTATGAAGTCATTTTTGAGAATTGTAATATTTGTTTCAAGATCTGTGCCTTTTTTTCATTATTTAATTACTTTCCAAAATCCTATCAGAATAGTTAGATTTGTGGACCTATATTATCTTTGCTCAAAGGTTTAAAGCACATAAATGTCACACAGATAATCCTCACTGCATCATTATCTTGTGGGTCTGTAGCAGTTAAGAAAGTAAGATTAAATTTATCATTGTGTTAAGTTTTTGAGATAATTTGCCCACTGAAAGAGCCAATAAAGAGTCTTAATCATGCTCCCCTTTTATACCAAATATTCTGGTACAATCTCAACTTCATATATTTGGTCATGTTGTCTTCACATCTATGTGTATTTGTCCTGGCTCAGGGATCTGAAAATGTAAACAAAATAACTGTACTATAGTCATTTTATACAAAATTCTCTTAAGGAAATAAAACTCCTATATGGATGATTCTAAGTCCTTATTTGAAGTCAATCATGTATAAGAAGCCCACAGGAGATCGAACTTATATTTGTAGGTGTTAACTGACTTCAACTGAGTATTTTTATCTTAGGTTTCTATAGCTGCTCCTGTTGCTGCTGCTGTTGCTACTTCTCTCTCTCTCTCTCTTTTTTTAGTACCACCAGTAGAACCCAGCAGTGCTTAACCACTGAGCCACATCCCCTGCCCTTTTTATTTTTAAATTATTTTGAGACAGAATCTTGCTTAGTTGCTGAGACTGGCCACAAACTTGCAATTCTGCCTCAACCTCCCAAGTTGCTGGGATTATAGGTGTGCACTCCATATCCATCCTATAGCTTCTTATTTTAATTTCTTAAAAAAAAATTCTTTCTGGGGGGGCGGGGTTGTGGCACAGTAGTAGAGAGCTCACCTAGTACCTGTGAGGCCCTGGATTCAATCTTCAGCACTACATAAAAATAAATAAATAGAATAAAGGTATTGTGTCCAGTTAAAACTAAAAAAAAATACCAAAAAATTCTTTCAAATTTTGAATTAAATTTTTTGGTAATCATAGTTTCAACAAACAGATCATTTCAATTGAATTATTTTCTTGAGGTTCACGACTAAAGACTAAAGAGACTTAACTGAAAATACTCAAAGATTGATCTTGTTTGTTTGTTTTGGGCTGGGGGTTTGGTGATGCAAAGGATTAAATCCTTGTGCAAGGACCTTGTGCAAGCTTAGCACATGCTCTGTCTCTAAACTACACCTGCTGCTCTGATCTTTGTTTTTTAAGAGACTGATCAAGGTAGGAAAATGTTAGTAGGCTCTATTTGTTTATTTATTTAGGAAAAAAAACCTTAAATTTCTAAAATTTGAATTTCTAAAATTCTCTCCTATAGTTTTCCTTTGCAGCTAGAAAATGGTCAAGCAATGGAATGTACAGTAGCTCAATATTTTAAGCAAAAGTATAGTCTACAGCTGAAATATCCCCATCTTCCCTGTCTCCAAGTGGGACAAGAACAAAAGCATACATACTTGCCACTTGAGGTAAGCTAAACTACATTTTCTTTTGCCAATCTGCCAATCTCTTGTGTTGTTGTTGTTATTATTATTATTATTAAAGATACCATTCTAAAGTAGGATTTAATCTTTCTGAAGTATTTTGGGTAGATAATTTCACTGTCTCACAGTTTTTATTTTTCTAGAAATGGAGGATATATGATAATTTGGCAAAAGCTTACAATGAAGAAACCCATTACTGCACAGACTAATTTCTCTTTGCCTCTTGGCAGGTCTGTAACATAGTGGCAGGACAGCGATGTATAAAGAAACTCACAGACAATCAGACTTCCACGATGATCAAAGCCACAGCAAGATCTGCTCCTGACAGACAGGAAGAGATCAGTAGACTGGTCAGTAAGGCCTGGTCTTCAAAATCAGCCAGCTCTAAGATGAAAAAACAAAAAACTAGAAGATTCCTGATGGGTCACAGTTACTCTGGTTTTTATATATACAAACTTTCTGGGTTTTTTTTTTTTTAGGTGAAGAGTAACAGTATGGTGGGTGGACCTGATCCTTACCTGAAAGAATTTGGGATTGTTGTGCACAATGAAATGACAGAGCTCACAGGCAGGGTGCTTCCAGCACCAATGCTGCAATATGGAGGCCGGGTAAGCTTTAAAAAAAAAAATCCCAGCAAGCTTCTGCCACGCCGGTCAAAAGAAGATTATAATCCAGAATTTTTCTACTTCACCACATTGAATTTACCCATAGTTGTGCTTATTATTGTTTTTTGTCTTCTGGCTCATGCCAGATAGAATTTTGTTTATTCCCTCCTCAACATTAAAATGGCCTTAGATTGTAATGTCTTTCTCTTTTCTTTTGTTTCTTTTTTTTGTTTTGTTTTGTTTTAAAGAATAAAACAGTAGCCACACCCAACCAGGGTGTCTGGGACATGCGAGGAAAGCAGTTTTATGCTGGCATTGAAATTAAAGTTTGGGCAGTTGCTTGTTTTGCGCCTCAGAAACAATGTAGGGAAGATTTACTAAAGTGAGTATCTTCGTATTTTCAGCCTAGTAGTATCCCTTCCAGATATGAAAGTACCATCCTTATGTGAATGTGCTGTGTACACTGGCACTAAATCCCTGACTCCTGTAGTGATACCTCTGGCTCTGTGGAAAAGACCTTGTGTTATAGTAAATTGCAAATGTGGGAATTACATTAAAAACCCGACTCAGTTTCTATATATTTAGAACAGAACTTTGTGAGTGACAATGCTAAAGCAACGCTACTTGGAGAATTCTTAGTTCAGATTCCTTTCCTGCTAATTTTATCTTTCAGCTAAGATAAAAACTCACTTATTTTTAGTCATTATTATTTACTAGTGTAGCCGGGTGTGGTGGCGCACGCCTGTAATCCCAGCGACTCGGGAGGCAGAGGCAGGAGGATCGAAAATTCAAAGCCAGCCTTAGCAATGGCAAGGCGCTAAACAACTCAGCGAGACCCTGTCTCCAATAAAATACAAAATAGGGCTGGGGATGTGGCTCAGTAGTTGAGTGCCCCTAAGTTCAATCCCTGGAACCCAAATGATGATGATGATGATGATGATGATGATAATAATAATACTTTACTAGTGATCCTGTTTGATGGCAAGGTCACTAGCTGGAAGTATTGGCTCACATCTTACAGTTGCATCTATCTACATAAGGGAAGTTAAGGAAGAGTTGAAAAAGTCAAGTGAGCTGAGAGGAAAGAAAGGAATCCTACAAAATATTGGCAAAGAAATTATTGTAAAAGCTTTATACATAGATTGAAATAACATCTTAAATTTGAAATTTAAAACTTAAAAGTGAATTTCAATTTTAAGTGATCTCTTTTGATACTATTATTGAAACAGATCTTTTACAAGTTTGATGGTAATCCTAAATACCCTGGTTTTGTAATAGCAAGTTTCTGTGTTCTCAGTTGAGTACAAGCTTACCCAACTCTTCTTATGCCTTACCAAAATGTTTGTTACCTGAAATTTTGATCCTCTTTTCTTCTGAATAGAATGACTAATTTCAATATTTTAAAAAATCTTTGAATAGGAGTTTTATTCTAGTCTTGGGGCCCAGCTGAGCCATAATCATTGAAAATTTCAAAATGATGGAGCTGGCAGTTTAGCTTAGTAGTAGAGCATTTGTTTAGCATGTGCAAGGTTCAATTCCTGGGTTCAATGCTTGGGTTCAATCCCTGGCACTGGAAAAAAATAAAAACAATAATCTGATGATTTATTAATACAGATTCTTATCTACTATAATTGCAGTAGTACAACTGCCAGTCTATTTTGGCAACTAGTTAAAAAAATTTTTTTGTTTGTTTATTTGTTTGTTTCTAATTTTGGCTAATAATTTGCAGAACTGAAAGTATTTTAAGAGATATTCATGCTAAGAATGTGCACTGAAATGAAAGCACTATGCCACTGGTTTTTTTTCCAACAGAAGTTTCACTGACCAACTGCGTAAAATCTCCAAGGATGCAGGAATGCCCATCCAGGGTCAGCCATGTTTCTGCAAGTACGCACAAGGTGCAGACAGCGTGGAGCCCATGTTTAAACATCTGAAAATGACATATGTGGGCCTACAGCTGATAGTGGTTATCTTGCCGGGAAAGACACCAGTATATGGTATGGATCACTTTAATGCTGAATGAGGGATGATTTCAAGTAGTAGGTGTGACAGTCAGGATAAGCTAGGTAGGGCTAGCTAGGTCACAAAAAATCTCAAACTCTCCGTGGTTCAAAAGAAGAAAATTGTGGGTAGGGGTATACTCAATGGTAGAGCCCTTGCCTAACGTTCACAAGGCCCTGGGTTCAATCCCCAACACTGAAAAAAAAAAAAAATCCTTTCTTGCTTCTGCTTTGTATCCACTGAAGGTAGATGGTGACTTCTGCTCCTTGCCATCATGTCATACCCACTCTGGGACCCAGAGTGGCAGAGCAGTCACTATTTGGAATGTTGCTAGTCCATCACTCTCTTTTCTGTTTGCATCTCCTTGGCCATAACCAACCATATGGGGAACAGGAGGACAGGTGGGGATGTGGGCAAGAAATGCAGTACAATCCTGTCACGGCCTAGAAAACTGGGAGAACTGGAGTGTGTGATGAAAAGCACTTAGAAATATCAGAGTGGGGGGGGGGGGCGGAGCCTGCTACTTCCAGAAGAGGATCTGCTTAGTTTGTATCTATTATAACAGTGATACAAAGTTCTTTTGGTTATCATTGAAGTAAAGGTTGTAGGAGCCACTGACCAGCCCTTAGACTTTATAAAACTGTCTTCATCCCTGTCTGTGTTTGCTTCTTTTGTTACTTTCTGTTTATCCCTAGTGTTGGGAGTGGGGAGCAGAAAAGTAAAATTCAAAGGGCTGGGAGGGAGAAACAAGTGGGAGGAGATTGATTCCTTTGCCAGACCAGTTATGTGGGAGAAGAAACCTCAAGGGACTGAGCAAGTGGTGGCAGACAGCACCAAAGAATAAGGGAAGCAGGCTGGCATCAAGGCCTGCAAGAAGGAGAAGAGGAGCCTGGAGAACCAATCCAAGGGAGGCCTACCTTGGAGGATGAGCAGATGAAATGACCATCTACTCCAGTACTAAGCATCTTAGCACTATTTGCAGTATATAATAGTTGCTCTGTTAATGTTAATGTGTGGGGTCTTTTACTCTTGGTAAAGGAAATTAATTAAAATAATTAACTTACTTTTGTAGCGGAGGTAAAACGTGTTGGAGATACCCTTCTAGGTATGGCCACACAGTGTGTCCAGGTAAAAAACGTAGTGAAGACCTCACCCCAAACCCTTTCCAATCTTTGCCTGAAGATAAATGCAAAGCTTGGAGGAATTAACAATGTACTTGTACCTCATCAAAGGTAAGATTCTAACTTCTGTTTTTTTCTACATTTGCTTAACATCTAACTTACATAATTTATGGTAAAGCATAGGTATCTCAAATATGCATCTTGATTATTATTTGTTTTATATGTGTACACCCATGTACCATCCACAACCCAGTTATGATATAGAACATTTCCAGCACCAAGTTAGGCTTCCTCTGGCCCCTCCAAATAGATGAGGGGTGTAGTTCAGTGTTAAAGTACTTGCCTAGAACACTTGAGGCCCTGAGTTCAATCCCCAGCATCACCAACAAAAAGCAAAACAAAACAAAATAGATGTCCCCTCCGCAAAGGTAACCACTATTTTGACCTCTATCATCATAGATTAGTTTTGCCTAATTTTGACCTTGATATAAACGGACTCATATAGTATGTATTATATTGTGTATCTTATTTTGCTCCACGTTATTATCTATGAGATTCATTTATGTTGTTGCATTTCACAATAGTTCATTCTTTCTCTTTGCTGTGCATTATTTCATTTTATGAATAACTCACAAGATTTTATCTGTATGGAAGATATTCTTATACATTTATTCTATAATTTTGCATTTTTTGATGGGTGTGAGCATTATTTCTTTTGTGTGGATTCCAGGTATGGGATTGCTGAGTTATAAAGAATACAGTTATAGAGAATACTTATGTTTTGCATCAGTAGATACAATCAAGTACTTTTCCAGGTTTCTATACCAATTTACATCCCATTGAGAGTTGCTTCATACCAACACAGGGAATTATCAGTTCTTTTGTGAATCTTTTTCACTAATACATCTTTGTGGTTTCTGGAATATAAATCCTTTCTAGGATATGTGTATTACATAATATCTTTTCCTATTCTGTGTTTTGTGTTTTGCCTTTTCACTCTGCTAAATAGTTACTTTTTTTTTCTTTCTTTTTCTTTTTTTTTTTTTTTTTGGTAGTACTGAATATTGAATCCAGGGCCTCAGGCATAGTAGGGAAGGGCTCTACCTTTGAGCTATATTCTCATCCTTTTAAAAAAATTTTATCTTAAAACCAGCTGCAGTGACAGACACATATCTTTAATCCCAGGTACTCTGAAGACTGAAGGTGGATTGCAAAACGAGGCCTAGTACATTGAGGCCTGCCTCCTGTACTAGTCAAGAGCTCTGCTATTGAGCTACATTCCCAACTTCCATAAACTTTAATGAAGCTGAGTTTATTTTAATTTTTTTTTTTTTTTTTTTTTTTTTTTTTTTTTTTTGGGATTTTACCCAAAGCCTTATTCATGGTTTGTAAGTATATTACCACCGAAGGAAATCCCAAACCCTGCTCCACACTACTTTTTATGTATT